ACCAAGAACGTGCAAGCATATTCAACTTTAAGACCTCCGAATTGACCCTCTAGGATCCAGGAATGTTGGGCATGCACCCAAGTTAATACCTCTCCTGGCTGCCCCCTCTTAGAAGACATACGGTAGCACTTCCGCCCTCGCTCACATCTCGGAAAAGGAGGGGCAATGGGTTTGTGTCATCATCCTGCGCCCGCCTGCCCCGCGACGTGCCGGCAGCTGGCGCAGCCCTCCTCTCGCCCGGCCTCCCCCTCCCTGGTTCCGCGCTCTGGTTCCGCCATGGAATCCAACAAGGATGAAGCCGAGCGCTGTATTAGCATCGCCCTCAAGGCCATCCAGAGCAACCAGCCTGACCGGGCGCTCCGCTTTCTGGAGAAGGCGCAGCGGCTGTATCCGACGCCGCGAGTTCGCGGTGAGTGTGAAGTGCCGGAGAGACAGAGGGGACATTAGAACTGATGGGGGAATACGGGAACGGACCGAGGGGAGCAGTTGGAGGAGGGGGAGGGGTAGCGAGGCGCGGCTACGCCTGCGCACTGAGACGCGCGGTGGCCGCTGGGAGGTGTAGTCTTTCGCTCTCACGCCTCTCCGGGACGCTGGACACCTGATGACAGGGGCGGCCGCGACTTCAACTTTTTGGGTGCTTGTGGAACCCTCTGAGATTTGGAGTTACCGACGATGAGAGGCGCTGGCGGGTGAGGGGAAGGGAACTTACCTGGAAGCGAAATCGAACTACTTCTCCCAAGGGGCCATTCGGTGGCCCAGGGCCGGTTGCCGGCCTGGAACTATTATAGTTTAGGAAAATAAACACTAACTCCTGTGACGGAGAGAATGGGTTTTGGGGAGGGAAAGAGGACTTCTGACCTTCGCACGGCCTGGAAGGATGTCTTCATATCTTCACTCCCTAGCACGTCTCCGGGCGAGGGCCAGGGAACACCCTCGGTCCGAAAGTAGAGCCTGCCTTTCCCCCCCCGCTCCACACCAGCGCCTTGCACCCGCTGCCTTGAGGGCGGGCCCCTCACTTCCTCCTGGAGGCTCTTCACCCGCCTGTGAGATTCGGGGCTTGTCGGAGACGCTGGCCGCAGGCACCTCTCCCACCCTTGCCCACAAGAGTCCCTCAGTGACCCCCGTATGGGCGGCTGGACAGCACAAGGCTGCTAAGTGTTCCGGGGCTGGGGCTTCCAAGCCAGGGAGGGATTAGCGAGGTTGTCTCAACCACTCAGCATTTCACTCTATCCAGGAACCGTCTTTTTCTTTAAGCTAAGACTTAAGAGAAGTTTTTCTTAATACAAGCTGGAAGGGAGAAAGAGGTAGTCCAGAGGGGCACCAGGGTGGCTCAGTCGGTTACGCGTCTGCCTTTGGCTCAAGTCATGATCTCAGGGTCTTGCAGTTGAGCCCTGCATGAGACTCCTTGCTCAGCGGGGAGTCTGCTTCCCCCACTCCCTCTACTCCCCCTCCCCTGCTCGTGCTCTCTCTCTCAGTCTCTCAAATAAATAAATAAAATCTTGGGCGCCTGGGTGGCTCAGTTGGTTGGGCGACTGCCTTCGGCTCAGGTCATGATCCTGGAGTCCCGGGATCGGGTCCCGCATCGGGCTCCCTGCTCGGCAGGGAGTCTGCTTCTCCCTCTGCCCTCTTCCCTCTCGTGCTCTCTGTCTCTCATTCTCTCTCCCTCTCTCAAATAAATAAAATCTTCAAAAAGAGAGAGAGACCATTAAAGATACAGGGATCATGCCATCAGTTATGATGCAGTAAACCATCTGGTGTGTAACAGGTACTCCCAGTCAGAAGACCTGAGTTCTTATCCTGACTGCTACACCATGCAATCTTTCTGAGCTTGGGTTTTCTTAGCTGGAAAATTAGAGGGTTGGTGCAGATAATGTAACAGTAATACCATAGGGCTTCTCTGTTTAGAACACTCCTTGCAGGGGTGCCTGGCTGGGCCAGTCCGCAGAGCACACAACTCTTGACCTCTGGATTGTAAGTTCAAGCCCCAAGCTGGATGTAGAGATGACTTAAAAATAATAATAATAAAATAAATCTTTAAAAAAAAAAAAAGGGAAGAAAGAAAGCTCTTTCAAATGCATTTTCTCACTTGAGCCTGCCCTATCGGGGAGGCAGAGCAAAGATCATTATCTTTGTTCTATCAATGAGGAAATATCTCAGAGTCAAGGGACTTGCCCAAGATTACACAGCTAGAAATTGGAAAGTTCTGTGACTCTATAAATGTTTAATAGAGGAATGAAATGAAAGAGCAGTCAGCCTCCTAACCTTCTTTGCCCACATTTGGAATTGAGAAGGGTGACCACCAGCAGAAGAGGCCACCTGGAACGGTCCAATTTTCCTCCTGACTACAGGTTGATCTTTGGCCTCTTTGCCTTCTCTTGGAAAGGGTTTCAGTCTGTATTTGCCAGGACTCCTGAGGTAACCTGCTCAAGGAGTTTCCCTAGAGAAATAAATCACACTCTGTAAGAGAGGAGCATGGTGGGATGGGGGCCTGCCAGTCTCAGAATCCTGTTTGATTCTAATGCTTTTGGGGACTCAAGAGCAGGCAGCTGAGAAAGGATGGTAACAACATGGCCTTTGGGGTCTTCCTGTCAGCAGCCTCCTGGGCCATTTCGGGGGCTTGGACTGGTGTCCTTCCCGGGGCTCAAGAAATGGAATTTGCTCAGGCAGAATAGTCACCTGCATGATTGTCATATTCCCGCTCTTGTGGAGAGACTGTATGCCTCATGCCTCTCTGTAAACTTCACCTTAAACCATCTGCAGCCCTGTACTGAGCTGACAAGGACCTGGGGTTAATGTAGGCCTGGGATGAAGAAGTCTTGGTTAAAAAAAATATTGGGTAGTTGTTTACACTTGCTGTTTGAGGTTTGAGCTCATTCCAGGTGCTCGTTCAATGCTAAGACTTTTTTTGTTTGTTTGTTTTATTTGCAAAGTTCTCTGCTTGGTGCTAAGTGCATATATGGCAGGATCTGTAAGACATGATCCTTCGCCTCAAGCAGTTTATAATCTAGCGAAGGAGACAAAATTACAGAAAAAATAATACTGTGGTTAAAGAAAAAATTCAGCACACTGTTAGATACCAAGAACTGAAGGATAGACATGAAAGATCCAGTCCCTTCCCTCCGTGGGTTCATAGTCTGGTGAGCTGGAGTGGAGTGCTGGGGATGGAGCACTGAACTCTGAACTCCCAGCAGTCTAGTGAGACTTAAAAATAATGGTAGAACACAGGTGATGGAAAATAGTGGTAGATCACAGTCAGGGAAAGCTTCAGGGAGGAAGACAGAGGCAGCATTTGAATTGCACTTTGGAGGAAGGGAACAGACTTGGAGAAGGACATCCTGGGGAAGACATGGAGGCTGGAAGGTGTGAGGTTCGGGGGAGAGGATTGGGTGTAGCAAGATTTGGCAGCTGTGGAGGTGGTAATTTGAGTATAGGGAGGATTAAGGCCGGAAAGTAGGATGGGGCCAGATTGTGGAAATCCTTTCCTGCCAGACCAGGATATTCACTTTATTCTGTAGTTGGTGAAAAGACCATTGAAAATTCTGATAGCAGGAATAAGATAACGGTACTCTTCTTAAAAGAGAACAGCATGAAGGGTTAATGAGAGGGAAGAGAGAGAGAGTCAGAAACCAATTGGGAGACCATTCACTGCAGTGAGGAGGTCAGGAGCTCTGAGCGCCTGAGATAAGGCATTCCCCAGATGAGGATAAGGTCATTGGGGAGGCGGCACCACGCCTTGTGTGAGAGAGGTATGCTGAGGAGAAACAGGGACACAGAATCCAAGCCTGTGTCCCCGGGGAGAAAGCAAGTTTGAGGATGGTGGGTGGGAAGAGATGGGCAGAGTGCAAGGTGCCAGTGGCTGTTCCAAAGGAACTGTCAGCATGGAGCTCAGGAGAGAGCCCCATGTTCCAGCTGAAAGTCTGGTCTTGTCAGTTTGAAGGTGCTCCCTGGAGTCAGGCCTGGCTGGGGTCACTGTGGGAGAGTGTCGAACGCACAGAGGAGGTTGCTGCAGGCACCACCACAGGGCCACATCTGCCCTTAGCAAACGGGCAGAGACTGGGGAAGCAACAGAGTGAGACGGAGCAACAACAGGAAGAGGCGATCCCAGGAAAGAGAGCAGCCAGGTGGCCATGGAGTGGAGTGTCGGGGAGGTGGTGAGCAACACGATCAGGCCTCACGGGAAAAGGGCAAATCAAGAAGGATCAGGAGCACGGGTAGAAGATTGGTCTAGGAGAAGTGCAAGGACAGACAGAGGGAAAGGTTGGTGAGAGGAAACTCAGAGCAACGTTGAAGGGTTGAGGGTCCTCGCAGTGAAAAGGCTGTGCTGCAGGACGTGGGGCCAATGGCTGGACACTTGTACTGTGGAGTAGTAGCAGGGCCCTAAGCTGGGAAGTCCTAGGGCAGGGCTAGTGGGGCTGGTCAGTCCCCTTCTGGGAGTTTCTGTCCAGCAACTGGCAGCCCCCTGGCATGGCCTCTGCCTGAGGCTTGCAACAATGGTGGAAAGTACCGGGTTTTTCCGGGAGCCAATGAGAACATCCTCAGTTTCCCCAGCACACACAGCGAGAGTTATCCTGGATGATCTTGCAGCTCAGGCTGCTTGAGGGTCCTGGGGAAGTCAGGAAGGCCACACTGGAAAGGCCAGCGGGGGAGGGATTGTGCTTTCAGAGTGTCAGAGCGAGAGATGGTGAGGTACTGGCGAGGTCCAGAGTGGGGCTGTCCATGCAGGTCAGTCAGCCTTCCTGAGCCCTACTGTGCACTCAGCCCTTCCGTTCCCCAGATCTTATTCACGCCTCCGAGCAGCCCTGTGAGGGCAGAGATCACGCCTTCCCCGGCGGATTCACTAACATGGCTCATCAGCAAAGGAGCTGCACTGTCCGGGCCTGCTCCCAGGCTGCTGCCCCACGCTGGCCTCCCTTTCCCAACTCACTCTGAGCACTACAGGTACACAGAGAGAGCCTGGAAATAAAACGAACAGTAACAGAGAACACTTAATATTTGCTGAGTGTTGTGCTAAGTCCTTTATATGCATTTGCTCATCTACTCTTTCAGCTCCCTCAAGGGAGATACAGTTTTACATGAAGAAGCTGAATTGACTTGTCCAAGAGGACCTTGCTAGCAAGCGGCAGAGCCAGCCCCGACCCCAGCCGGCCTTGCCCTCCAGTCTGGCTTTGAGGAGGGCCCACCGCTGGTGGCTTGGGCCATACAAGTGCTCTCACCTCTCCCACTGCAGCTCTCGTTTCTTCCACCAGGTTCCTGTCTCTCTAGATGTCTGCCAGCTTTACTGCGAGGGCAGAGGCAGGGTCTGAACCCAACCTCATCGGACTCCAGAATCGTCACGTTAGGCCGTTCTGTGTCATACTCATTTGCGACATGTGCGAGGCAGTCACATCCCACAGGTCTGGTGGAGGCGATGTCCAGGCCAGGAGGGAGACCTACTTGGCAGCAGCCAGAAATCTTGATTTGCCAACTCAAGCAGGAGCCTCTGTGTGGCCCAGAGCACATCCATTCCCCTTTGGGCTCCCTTTCTGCAATGTAAGGAAATTCGAGTGGCCGACTCCATGTAACTACCCTGAAAAGTTTCCACAATCTTCCCTGAGAAATACTAGAGCGGGTCCATCCTACCTCCTGGCTGATGCTCCTGTGTATCTGTAGCAGTTGAATGGTTGGTCGTGTTGTCCTTAGGGTTCGTTAGCTCAGCCTGGACCACTGAGGCTTCCAGAGAAACTGAAATAAACAAGTTCTTGAAATGCCCTCCAAACCCAGCAAACCGGCCCCTCCCTCTGTCCCATCTTCATCAGCATCTCTTCATCTTTTGTTCTCTTCGTTTGCCTGGCATGGACCTGGCATCTGGGACAGTCTGAAATCTCATGGTTCTGGCTGGGTCCAAAGCCTGCTGAGTGCTGACACTTTGCCTTCCTAAGCCCTGGAGCTCCCTGGCCCCACCTGCTCAGGTCCCCTCCCCGGCCAACCAGTTCATCAGCCTGTGTCATAATATCAGCAGCTACTCATTTTGAACTTTCATTCTTGTCAGTTTCTGTGCCAGGTGCTTACACGTTATCTCGTTTCATCCTCATACACCCTATTAGCCATGGATCCCGTAGGAAACTGAGGTTCAGACAGATTGTAGATTTTTTATCGGCCAGGGCCATAGCGCTAGGACGTGACTGAGCTGAGATTTGAACCCAGGTCTTTCTGAATTTAACTTCTCTTCTCTATTTGGAATGACTGTGCTGGAAGGGGTTCCCCGTGCCCGATGCCAGACTCAGGCAGCCCGGGCTAGCATAGTTCAGAACAAGGTTCTGGGAGCTGGGCATCCAGGCATTAAGTGCCGCCTCCCAGCTTATGCAGCCATGGGCCACTGGATCACACACACGGCTCTTTTTTATAATGGGGATGGTGGTGGTGAGACCGACCTCGAAGGCCATTGTTCAGATTAAGTGAACTAGTACACGCAGAGCTCCGGGTCCGGGCCTGCCTAGCACGCGGTGAGCGCTCGGCACGCACTCCTGGGCTTGGCTGCGGGAGTGCTCCACCTCTTCCGTGCAAGGCGGGCTTGACCGACAGCTCCTTTCTGAGGGAGGCCACCTCAGACAGCAGCGGCTCAGGGCACGGTGGCCCACTCAAGTCCCAGGGTTCTGCTCCCAGCAAGCCCTGCCCCTGGCCCCTCATGTGAGGCGCAGGTATGTTGCTTTAGAGGGTGTCGTGACACCCAGCACACTGCGTTGAGCCCAGCAGGCTCCTGGCATGTTTGAAAGAAACTGGGGACCAGCCGGGGGCACTGCTGTCCTTCCTCAGCACAGTGTCCTGGGTCCCTGCAGTAGTCCAGGTGCCTGGCTTCCCAGGGCACTGTACCCCAGGCATGACCGGGGGTTCCAGAACTGGTTGCATGCCTGGACTATGGGCACAGGGAACTTTGGCCAGAGATTTGGGCTCTTCCTGATTGAGTAGCAGGACCCACGGAGTTGGGTTTGAGTCACTGGGACCCTGTCTGAGGGTGACAGCTGATGTCCTACTTAGACTCTGAACGCTGAAGTCAGATGTTTGACATGGCCAGCCACTTGAAACATGTGAAGAATAGCAAGTAGCAGAGGCTGTCTTTATCCTGGGTCTCCTACCATGTCTGGCCCTCTGGGGCAAATTCATTGCCTCCATTCCCCTTCACAGCTAAGTAAAAGCCTCCAGGAGGCCTTTCCCACCAATCTCGGCTGAAACAGATGGTCCTGCTAAGTGGGGTCCCCTTTGAGACTTTGCCCATCTCAACAGAGTCTGTTAAACACACTACTTTGGGGGGCACCTCGGTGGCTCAGTTGGTTAAGCGTCTGCCTTCAGCTCACATCATGATCCCAGGGTCCTGGGATCGAGCCCCACGTCAGGCTCCCAGCTCAGCGGGGAGCCTGCTTCTCCCTCCCTCTCTCTCTACCCCTCCCCCTGCCTCATGTGCTCTCTCTCATGCTCTCTTTCTCAAATAAATAAATCTTTTTAAAAATAAATAAATAAGCACACTGCTTTGGGATTTTTAAAACCTGAAGGGTTTATGGTATGTTTTTATGCAGAGTTTTAAGTTAACCTATACCCAGGAGTGCCTGGCTGGCTCAGTCCGTAGAGCGTGCAACTCTTGATCTCGGGGTTGTGAGTTTGAGCCCCACGTTGGGTGTAGAGATTACTTAAAAGGAAAATCTTTAGGGGCGCCTGGGTGGCTCAGTCAGTGAATCGGCTGCCTTCGGCTCAGGTCATGATCCCACAGTCCTGGGATCGAGCCCTGCATCGGGCTCCCTGCTCCGCGGGGAGCCTGCTTCTCCCTCTCCCTCTGCCTGCCTCTCTGTGTACTTGTGCTCTCTATCTCTCTGTCAAATAAATAAATAAAATCTTTAAAAAAAAAAAAAAGGTTTAAAATAACCCGTACCCTGACAACTCCTGGGATCTGTGGACCCTGCAGGCAACTGTCCCACTAGCGCCCACCGCCCCCTCCCAGCCCTAGCCCAGGCCCAAGTCAGGGAGGGAGCTAAGGGCTTTGCTGGGAAAGGCAGCAGGTGGGATGCGGGGTGCGGGTGGGGTCCTGGCCTCTCCCAGGACCAGGCAGCCCCTCCGCTATGGCACGTGGCCTTGCTGGAGCGGGAGCCCTGAATGCTTTGCTTGCCTCGCACAGCCCTGATCGAGTCCCTCAACCAGAAACCACAGTCTGCCGGTGACCCTCCCCAACCCACAGACACGACCCACAGGAAAGCAGGTGGGGCCGACACCCCCTCGGCCAACGGAGAAGCTGGAGGAGGAGAGAGCACCAAAGGCTACACTACAGAGCAAGTAGCAGCAGTGAGAAGGTAGAGGGGCTGGAGCCTGGTGCTGCTGGGAAGTTTCCAGATCTAGAGCAGACTTCCTGCAGCCTGTCCTCCACCTCACATCTGCCTGTGGTCTGGGTGGGCCCTGGGAGGGTCCCGAGGATGGATGAGCTCCAGCTGGGCCGGCTCACCAGGCCCCGGAATACACTGTGGGAATCAGGGCTCTGCTGTCCCCTCCCGCCACGACAACCCACGGCGGGGGCTGGAAGTGCTGATTCCCCCGCGGCTGGCTTCCTCTGCTGCCAGCCGGCCAGCGAGCCCTGGCTCTTTACACGGCTCTGTTTATCAAGATGGGGCTCGGGCTCCCCTTCCAGCTTCCCCCCCGCCCCCAACAAAGACCCTTTCAGACCAGAGCCTGTGTGGCACAGAATGGAGACAGGAGACGGTTGTCCCTCCAGGGCTTGGGCAGGCCCTGCACAGACACTGACAGTCCTGAGGTGGCCTCCGGTGAGGGTGCTGTTAGCAAAAGGAGATGGTTCCTGGCCTGAAACACAGCAGCTGCCCCCTGAGAAATCCCAGATGTCTTCTGGGTGTTTTCCCCTGGGCCCTACCCGACTCCCCATCCCAGGTGGAGCTTACTGAGGCTCCCTTGCCCCCGAGGTCTGACAGTTGACTGGAGTTGCTGTCAGCCATGCCCTGCTGGTCCCCCTGAGCCTGCTCAGAGCTGTGTGCCCACACTGCTTGTTCCTCGCCGCCCTCACCTCGCGGCCCTGGGCCCGCTCTACCCCTTCCCCCAGGGTCAAGCAGTGTAAAGATTACTATGAGATCCTGGGGGTGAGCAGAGGGGCCTCCGATGAGGACCTGAAGAAGGCCTACCGCAAGCTGGCCCTCAAGTTCCACCCAGACAAGAACCACGCACCTGGTGCCACTGAAGCTTTCAAAGGTAAGCGAGCCTTGGTTCCCTGCTGTTTGGTGTTTTTATCTCCTGCCCTTGAGAAGGAATAAGAGGCCAAGACAACTTTTCCGGGAAGTGGCCTTGGACCCAAGCCCCCTGGGCTCAGGAGCTGCTTCCTGGAAAGAAAGTCCCCGTAGCCACCTGTAGCCTAGAGAGTCTGTCAGAGCTCCGATGGCACCAACCCTGCCTCTCCTTCCTCCACGTTCCCCAGGAATGACAGGAGGGGAGCTGAGGCAAGAGAGGACCAGTGGCTTCACGGTGGTGTAGCGACTGAGGGGCAGAAGGAGGCCTCCTGGTTCACCCATATGCACATCCCCATCTTGGGATCTTGGCAACAGGTTCCCTGTGCTGAGGGGCAGAGTAGCCTCAGGTCCGTGGCCTGGTGGCCTCCTCGTCTCCAGCAGCCACCGCCAGCCCTGCACTACACACACACTCACATGAGGCGGTGACCACCGCCAAGAAGGGAGCCTTGGGCGGAGCAGATGGCAGAGCAGACCCCTGAGACCTGCTGTGCTGTTTCCCGGGCCCAGCCTCGTTACTCCATTCCAGGCTGCTTAGGGTTGGTCCTGCTTGGGTGGGGGTAGTCTGAAGGCATCATCCCTGTAAGCCAGCCCCAGGGCGAGAAGGTGAATAGGAGTGGGTAGGCAAGGTAGCCGTGGTTACTGTTACTCCAGCCCGGACTTCTGCCTGCATCCTGCACGACAGACGCGAAGAGGCCAGACCTAGCCTGGACGGCAGGAATGGCAGGAATTACGAATGCCTTCGTGGCAATGGCAAGAGGAGAGGATTCTCCTTATTCTCAAGGTTTACAGGTTGCAGTTGCAGCTTTGACCCGCTCCTTTGAGAGGGTGAACCTCTGGAGAAGGAGCAAGAGACTGAGGAGGGCCTGGAGCTGGGTCCTTTGAGGCACAGGTTTCCTGCCTAGGGAGCCCTAATGGGGGGGCCTTGGGGCCTGGCCAGGGAACAGACACTGGGACCTGGACCCCCGGGAGGAGAGGGCTCGCCAAGCCCCACTACCAGCAGTGGAGAAGTTTTGACTACACCTGGTGATTCGGCCCTTCCCGGCAGTTGCTGTAGGAATAAATAAGATAAGGCCCATAAAGGGCCTGGGGCATAGAAAAGCCTGCCCAGACTACCTAGATCCACTTAGAATTATTCCTGCCTGCCCCCCTCCCTACACGTGCCCAACAGCCAAACTTCTGCTGGCCCCAGGGACTCCCACTTCCTAAAGTACCACTTGAGTACCTAAAGGAAGGGAGCTTTTGGCTGCCACCATGGCAGCCTCCCCCTGCACGCCCCATGTCTTCAAGCCTGACTTAAACCTCGCCCCATGTCTTCGAGTCTGACTTACACCTCCTTTCTAGCCATTGGCACAGCATATGCGGTACTTAGTAACCCAGAGAAAAGGAAGCAGTATGACCAGTTCGGTGATGACAAGAGCCAGGCAGCCCGGCACGGCCATGGGCATGGGGATTTCCACCGTGGCTTTGAGGCGGACATCTCCCCCGAGGACCTCTTCAACATGTTCTTTGGTGGTGGCTTCCCGTCTAGTAAGTACCCCGCCCTTCCCGCAGGCCTCCCTGGGGGGGGGGGTGGAAGACTGGATGCTGGCCCCCCCTTCCCAGCAGTCCCGTCCCCTGACTCAGTCCCTCTGACCTCCAGGTAATGTCCACGTCTACAGCAACGGCCGCATGCGCTATACCTACCAGCAAAGGCAGGACCGCAGGGAGAACCAGGGTGACGTGAGTGAGGAAGGCACTGGGGAGAGCAGGGGAGGGCGCCAGGCCCCACCCAGGGTGCAGGGCCTGAAGGGGGAGTGACATCCCCAGTTGTCCGTTCTGGGAGGGCAGTGCCCCCAGCATTCTCAGCTGAGGCGCCATCTTGGGCCCCCCTCCCCTTGCCATTCAGCGAGCGACACCAGAGGGAGCCACACTCCACAGTGCTGCCCAGGAGGAGTGGGGCTTTGATGGCCTCTGTTAGGGAATGTCATGCAGAAACTTCTCCACCTCCAGACGGGGCTGAGTGTGAATGGCCTTTGTGCAATCCATTTGTTCATAAGGCCACAGTGGCATTTTCCAAGCAATGGGAAGTGAAACTTCACAAGAGAATTGTAAAGGATGACAAAGGTTGTTGACTCTTGCTTCTTTCCAGCACTCTTAAAAAATGTACACAAAAACTATAACCAGAATGCTACAGGTTAAGGAACAGCTAGCTGACCAACATTAAGATACCGTGGACGATTCCAGAGCTTTGAAAATTATGGCAGGTGGAGGGGGTCCCCTCTGTTCGGTCAGTGTGGCCTTATGTTTTTATTTATTCATTTTTTTAAACTGTATGTATGTGTGTATTAAACATACAGGAGAGTTTTTAAAATCACAAATTATCACACGGCAAACAAATGTGTTTTTACTTACAATTTTGTAACTGGCGGTTTGGGAATCGGTATATAGTGAAAACCTCCCTCGTGCCCTGCCTGCCAGTCTCCTGCAGGCAGCCGCCTTTGCTCGTGTTTTTGGTACTCTCTGACAAGCGAACACTTGCAGGTACCCTCTTCCTCTGCGTCACACCCGTTGCCGTTTTGTTTTCATCTAGGGGAACTGGCAGGTGGAGGAGCTTCTGTGTTTCGGGGGGCCTGTGGGGGGGGGGACGAGAGAGCAGTGTCACGGCCTGTTTGTATGGCAGCCGTGCCTCCTGCCGCCGGGAAGCTGGTGGTGACTGCGGCTGACGCCGCGCTCCCACCCACGTCTAGCTTGGGTGACCATTGGCTCTTCCCTCCAGGGCGGGCTGGGGGTATTTGTTCAACTGATGCCCATCCTCATCCTGATCCTCGTGTCGGCTCTCAGCCAGCTCATGGTCTCCAGCCCCCCGTACAGCCTGAGCCCAAGGCCGTGAGTACTTGCAACTAGGGATGGGGCTGGGGTGGTGGGCGGACAGGGACTTGGGATTCTCAGCCCCCATCAGGGGCCTTCCTTCCCGTCCTGCGGGTCCTTGATCACAGTGCAGAAATCTGGCTTAGAATCCAGAAAACACACTTTCCCTGTTGAGTTTAGGTTCTTGATCTTTTAGGATCACGGTCCCCTAAGAAAATGGAGTGAAAACTGAAAATCTTTTCCCTCGAACACTGCACATGCACAGTTTTGCACGTGCTTTCACAGGCTTCATGCCCCCCCCCTTATCTGCTGACCTTGAGATAAGAACCTCTGCTCTTAAGTTCTGGTTGGGGGCCTTGGGGCCATGGAAAAGAATAGGGGCTCTAGAATCAAACAGAGCAAAGTGGCTTTGAATCCCAGCTACTCTATTAACTAAGCAGCTGTGTGACCCTGGACAAGGGTCTGAGCTTTGGTTTCCTCATCTATACAGTGGGAATAACAACATCTATCTGCTTGTGAAAAATAAATGAGTAATACACATAAAATGCCAGGCTCAGGGCGCCCGGCTGGCTCATTCGGTGGAGCGTGCAACTCTTGATCTCGGGATCTTGAGTTCAAGCCTTATGTTGGGTATAGAGATTACCTTAAAAGAAATAAGCAAAATGTTTGTTAAAAAATGCCGGACTTGTCAGAAATGTTCAACAATATTTGTTGAATGAATATATGGTCTCAGCTGCCAGTAGTGAACTAGGGCAAGTTATTTGGCCTTTTAAGGTATCAGCTCCCCTCGTTTATTTCCAGCCCCTGGCACCATAACTGATGCATAGTTACAGAGTGGGTGCTCAGCTTCTATTTGTGGGAGCTCTCTGCTCCCAAAGCAGCCTGGCCCTGCCTGGGAGCCTGGCGGCCTTCCTCTCGGCCAGCAGGGGGCAGAGTCGGGCTGCTGGGCCCTTCCAGGCGGCGCAGGCTCTCTGAGGCCTGTTGCCAGCCAGCCCTTGGTTCTGCAGCTGCAGCGGCCACAGGGGGAAGGTAGGGGCTGTCCTCCCCCCAGCACTGTCTTCTGTTTGTGTGTCGAGGCTCTTCCCACACCCTGCAGAGCCCTCTCGGTCTCTAGGACCGAGAGCTGGAAGGCCACAGCTCCTTGGAGTCCTTCTGTCATGTTGTTCCTAAGCCTCTGAACTCCAGACTGGGAGTTCCCGGGTAGGCAGGCAGGCCCTGGGCAGCAGTCAGCTTAGGGGAGGAATGCCGAGATGGGAGGCACAAGGAGCCCGACTCACACCCCTAATCAGAGGCCGAGCCCAGCCTCCCCTCCTGCGCCGACTAGGGCCTCTCCAAAAGGGGCTTCTCCCTACAGGCCCCAGGTCAGCAGTGTGGTAAGCAGGGCTGGCCATAGTCTGGACCCCTTGCATGGGAGGGACCCCGTGCCGTTCCTTCAGACCCTCATTTTGCATGTTGTGCGAGTCCCCGCTCTGGTTAGGAAGGAAGCAAGCCCTCCTGTTGGGGGGCCCTGTTGTCCTCTAGAGCTGCCCCGGGCCTGGGCGCCGGTGCCCACTTTGTGCCTGATGTATTTCCGGCCAGGTCGGTGGGCCATGTCCACAGGCGAGTCACTGACCACCTGAATGTCGTCTACTACGTGGCAGACACCTTCTCTAAGGAGTACACAGGCTCCAGTCTCAAAACAGTTGAACGGAACGTGGAAGACGATTACATCGCCAACCTCCGGAATAACTGCTGGAAGGAGAAGCAGCAGAGTGAGTGTGTGTGTGTGTCGCAGGGCCAGAGCTTGAGAGTAGGGAAGAGAGAACCCTGCCCACCAGGGATTTGGGGACCCAGCACCAGGCACGGCCTTGTACCAGCCACCTCCCGGTCAAGAGCGGGACCCCAGCCCTGGTTCCGTAGGGCAGGGAGCCAGGGGCTACCTAGAGATTTCCTCCAGGTTCCCGTAAATCATGGCCATCAGCCTGAGTTTGGCTGCCAGAGGTAAGGATGTCGAGAGAGACCGGAGCACGTGTCCTGGCCACCGAGTGATCAGGCATCCAGCTCAGTCTGTGGGACCCCAGCGCGGTCGAACCAGGATGACCGCTTCTTTCCTTCTCACAATTGGGACCATAGTCTTTGCTCTCCAGGGTCTTTCCTGAAGGGAGGCCAGCTCTGCCCCAGCTCCGGGGCCTGTGACAGCCTTTCTCCCGCCCCCACAGGCTGGGCAGGTGCTCTAGTAGCCTTTGGGAGATCCCAGGTGCACCCTAACTCTGCCCCGTTGCTTTGCAGAGGAAGGCTTGCTGTACCGGGCCCGCTACTTCGGTGACACAGATATGTACCACAAAGCACAGAGGATGGGCACCCCGAGCTGTAACCGACTGTCAGAGGTGCAGGCCTCCCTGCATGGATAGTCCTGGGCCAGCCACGCCACCGAGGTCCAAGTATGAGCCAGGGCCTCCTCTGCCCTGCAACTCTTGGCAGCTCTGGTCCTGGTCATGAGGCAGAGGAGGGCGGGAGGGCGAGAGGGGAACAGCCTGTTCATTAGGGCACAGGCTCCTTGTCCCAGCCTGACCTCCAGCCTGCAGCGCTGGGGCAGCTCTAGGGTAAGCTCAGGACTCTCATGCTCCTGTCTACCCCACGCCCAGCTCCCTGGCCCCGGGAACGTGGGGAGCCCAAGAGCCAGGCAGAAGGGGGAATTGAAGGCCACTGCTAAGGGCCCTCTGTGTTTCCCTGGTCGCATCCAGCCCCCAAGTCACCATGGCCCTTCCCAAGTACAACAGACTACTATCTGTGTCCTGCTCTTTCGGCCACCAAGTACTTCTGGTCCCAAGAAAGCCTCCCAACCCCGCCCCCCCCACACACACTCCCCACCTGACATCAGGAAGAAACCCATGAGAATGGGTGGGCCGAGATCCCGTGCTCTTGCTCTGGCCTTCCAGGCAGGAGGAAACGGAACAGGGTGGATGGGCAGCCCCACAGTGGGTCGGGGAGGGAGCCAACAGGCTGGGAGCAGGAGAGGCCTGTGTACCCTGAGCCCTCGCCCTCTGGTGGAATCCCAGGCGCGCTCTCAAGTGCCAGCGCACCCGCAGCCTGGAGGCAGTCGGCCTGCCCGGGCGGCTCGCCTGTGGTCGGGGGGAGAACGGAGGGCAGGAGTTGAGGGTCGAACGCAGAGCCTTTAGTACAGAAGGGCTGCGGAAAAAATGCAAGTCACTGGTCGCAGCCTCCCGCCGCCTCTGCCCCTGCATGTGGGTAGTGGGCTCAGCTCCCAGCACTTGCCGGAGGGGACAGACTGGAGCCCAGAGGAGCGTAGCAGAGCCGGCGAAGGTGCTTCTCTGTGTCGGTACCTGCCCGTCCGTCCTCTGCCTGTGTCCCCCTCGGCAAGGGTCCGGCCCCAGACGCTGTGCTTGGCGGCCATCTGCTAGCGCCTCCGGGGGAGTGACGGAGCGCAGGAGGGAGACCGGTTGGGGCCGAGGCGGGCAGGACGGCAGCCGGGAGGTCGGCTTGTTTGTGTAGGCTGAGCTAGCAGCTCCAGGCCCCGGGACTGCCGAGCTAACTGTTCCCACTCTCCTCCCCAGACCATGAAATCCCTGGAGAATTTTTGGTGACATGCACTGAGCCAAGGTGATGGACTGTATATTTAAGGAAAGACATAAAAAGAAAAAAAATTAAAATGGAATTGGAGGCCGAACGCCGCACAGCTGCCCTCTCTCTCACCCAGTAAATGCTGAAAGCTCTTAGGACAGGAAAACCTGCCGCGGGGCTGCTTCCCTTCCTCCCGGGGCTGGCAGAGGCTCCACTTCGGCTCTCTCCTAGGATACGGAAACCATGGCAACGAAAGTAGAATGTAAAACTTGGAGCAAACGGCTGTGGAAAGGGCTGGGGGAGGGGGCGCCCAACTGCCTTCCTCCCCCTCCCGGGAACCGCCCCTGGTCACCTCCGTGGAAGCCAGTCAGAGGCGTTGGCCAAGGATTGGAGGAGGAGGAGCGAGAACTCTCCATAGAATGTAATTTATAGAGCAAGTATAAGTGTGTGTGTGTATATATATATATCTATTTATATGTAAATAGCATATATAAAGATATATATATATATATATATAGTCTACTTTTTAAACCAGGCAGGGATTTGGTTAAGTTGTTTAGCTGATTTCTTCCCAGTTTTAGGAAACGAGGCCTGTGTGGGGAAGGTAACTTGGTTCTTCAGAGGCTAAGCGTTGGCCATAGCTGACAGCCTGAAGGGCAGTCGGGTCGCAGGCTTTCACGCTCCCCGCCTCCCGAGCCTCCTTTCGATGGCAGCAGTAATCATGATAGTGTAAGTCTGTAGAGAACTCAGAGGTTGCCAGGGTTACGGCGAAGCTGGAGGGGAGCAGGCTTTCGGAGGAGAAAGTGCCCCTGGAGCCAGGTACCCTGTCAGGATCCAGTCATGGTGGAGGCCCCCCCAGGCCGCCTATGGCTGTGAGACCACCCACCACAAGCTTTGGTCAGCTCAGGTGGGCTCTTAGGCCTGGGGCCCAGGAGCCCTCTGCGCCCCTTGCCGCAGAGAGCAGGGTTAGAGAGGGGGACCAAGTTCTGCCTGGCCGCCCCCCCCCCCCCAGTCCCAAAGTGGTTTTTGCCTTATAGCTGCCCCAGGGCACGGCTCCGCGTTGTGGCCGCTGGTCTTTCCCAAGTCAGGCACCAAGGACTCCAGACGGTTCTTCCTCCA